CAATGTACCTTATATGCTGAGTTTTCCCTTGTAAGAATTAGTTTGAGTATATTTTATATTAAAAAGTTATTTTTTAAGGGCCAACCATCTGTTGTTACTTTCATCTTCCTCTACCTCAATGTGTATGACTGAGCAAATTAAAATTGAGGCAAATTGCAATTCTGCTTTTAACTCTACAAGCCATGGAAGAAAGGGGATTTGCTAACTTACATATGAATCTGTGAATGAGTTGGAGAAATGTATATCAAACATGTCTTTGAAAAGCTCCTGTTTATTCTATAAACTGATTTGTTTTATACTTTCCATATGTTCCAGTAGAACTGTTTTCATCAATGTGAGTATTTCTTCCAGAGATTCAACTAACAATCTATCAATGATAACACATAATATACAACTCTTTTCCAAGTCTTACCAGAAGTTTTTTTTCCAGTTATTATTATCATTGTTATTAGTAGTAAATACAGAAAGTACAAAGTGAATTTATGTGGTGAAATTATACTTTTCACATCTAACAATAATATTAGATATTCATGTGGAGTTTTAAAGTTTTCAAAAGTAATTTACATACATGAGTTTATTTTTACATTATTGTTCATCTCAATTATATAGATGGATGGATGAATGAATGAATGAATGAATGAATGAATGAATGAATGAATGAATGAATGTGTGTAAAGGCCAGGCTGCTACATCTATTCCTCAGGGTATCCTGAGGAGCTTGTGGTATGTCTTTTCACTGCTATTAGATCAATCCCCCACTGGCTGTGTTTGTCCCACTGTGAAGTGCCAGTGGGTATCACTCCCATTTCATTTAATCACTTAATAATGATGAGCTTTTATACAGGGATATTTACTTTGAAGACATATCAAATATAAGAGTATAAACATTTCCCCCCAACACATTGGGGACCTATTGTTTACCTCTGTACTGTCACCTCAGTATGTTGGGGAAATAGGTTCACTTTTAGCTTTATTTCTAAGTAACACTGGTTTTATCCAATTCAAGTCCTGTACTGGGTCCTGAATACCACTCCCAAAGGTGACCCCATGTTCCTCTGAGCACAATGATATTCTGGGCGTAAGATCCAGACTCTGGAATGCCAAGATACAAAGGCTTATTCCTGATTTTCAAAACTCACAAGATTGAAGGCTCAAACACCATCATCTAAAACAGAAAAAAATAAAAATAAAAGTGGAGACCGAGGACTAAGTCTCTTCACAGTGTTACATGGCCTCAGAGGGGAGACAGCCTCAGAGTTTCTCTCCCTCTCTCTCTCCTTATAGCATTGCCTCTTTTGAAAGCCTGTAATTGAAGAAGTCAATGAGATTTCCCAAGAGTGCAACTTAAGAGAATTCGATGAAGACATAAGTCCAAAGGTGATTCAGGCCATTTTTGAAGACTCCTTGATTTCCCAGTAGGTAGCTGATTGAAAAAAGAAAAAAAAGAAAAAAAGAAAAGGAAAAGAGGAAGAGAAAGGAGCTCCTGCAAAGCAGAACTAGGAGACCAAAGTTTAGCATTCTGGAAATAGTTATGGAAGGTCTATCCATGTGCCAATGTCTCTCCCAGTTATTCCCATTTTATGATATTTTATGTCATCTCTTCATGATTCAGTTTTTCTGGGAGCAGGCTCCTTGGTAGCTCTACATTCATCCATCCATTCACTGAGTAAACATTTATTAAGCATGTTCTGTGTGTCAGGGATTGTGCTAAGAGCTTTCTACATGAAGGGACAACATCAGAGGTTCTCTACCCATGTGCCAAACCCCTTTACAAATGAAAAAAAAAATCTTTTCTCAGCCCATGCAAATATAAATGCAATGACAGTCATTTCCCCAAAATATCATACATTTCAATGGGGGAGAAAATGCACTTAAAGGAGTTATTACCATAGAGAGGAACTTTGGTCTGGAAAGGTACAAGGGTGGTAAGTTGGGCCAAGAGATTAACATAGCCCTTCCAAGAACAGTGGCAGTATTGATTTGATCATGGCTCCAGTAATGAGCAGTGGCTAAGTGGGGCAGTGGACAGAGTGCCAGGCCTGGAGTGGGGATGATCTGAGTTCAAATCTGACCTCAAACACTTACTAGCTGTGTGACCCCAGGCAAAAACCTTGTTTACCTCAGTTTCCTTATCTGTAAATGAACTGGAGAAGGAAATAGCCAAAAAAAAAATTCCAAGAGGCTTTAGAAAATGTCAGACAACTGAAAAATGACTAAATAACAACTAGTAAAGAGGAGTAGAAAAGAGGTGTGGTATTTGAGGCTTCTGAGGAAGATGCTGAAAAGACTAGGGGTAGGAAGTGAAATTAAGAAGGGAAGCAAGACAGGGGCCTACCTGAAATAATGGGCCAGGTGATTCATCACTTAAGACAGCGGGGTTTCCGGATAGAAATTCTGGAAATGAATGGGTTAATTAGGGAGCCTCAGAGAGGTTAAGTGACTTGTCCATTATTATTACACAGTTAGTAGTAAATTTGAACACAGATCTCTCCTAACTGCAAATCTAACACTTTTTTTTTTCCTTACACCACACTGCCTGCCACTTGGATATTAAAAAAAAAAAATCCGTGAAACACTACATTAGGTTACATAGATTTCTTTCTGGGTTGAGACATGAGATCAGAGATGGATATGAATTTATTAATTTTCTCATGTTTGACAAGACACATTATCAAACCTTTCAAATCTTTCAGGTTTTTGCATCTTAGGTGTGTTGCTAATTAATGAGTTACACACCGCTACTGAATAAGTAAATGGGCCACACGGTAGCAGTCACTTAGCAAAAGTGACTAGGAAAGATACTACCTGAAAAATTGATCCTACATCATATCATTAAGAATGTCGTATGATCTTAGTAGCACTGGATTCATGCTTTTAGGAAAAAAGAACATAGTGAGTTCTGAGATCAGTTGATTTTTTGTTCTTTTTCTTTTTGGAAATTGTAAACCTATCTAGTATAAGTTTGAGAATCCAACCTTTTTTTCTGTTCATCTTCAAATACACCCACACCTACACATAATACTGGTAACATTGAACAAAATGCTTTTTGATTTTTTTTGAAAAAGTAAATAAGAAATTGAAATATTTTATAAAATCATAAAAATCTGAATCATAGCCAGGCAATGAGATGTCATTAAAAGGACACGAAATTAGTGTCAGGAGTCAGAAAAGTTTACTTTATTATTTCTGTTTGACTTTGGTCAACTCAATTTTCCTCTCTGGGTCTTTGTTCTCTTTCTTTAAAGGGAGACTGGCTGACTGTAATCACTTCAAAAGCCTGTTTCAACTTGAATCCCAATGGTGGTATACTTGTAGGTATGCTGTAAAAAGCTAAAAGACAACTACGAATGTAGATATGTGTACCAAGTCTAGTATCATGGATAGTTTGAGCTGTTGTGTTGCATTATGGCATCTAGAATTGATTGTATGAGCTAGTGCTTAGCAATGACTGATTGTGAATGACTCATTAAGTAAAAGTAAGATTTTAGGGTTAATGGAAAGTCTCTCTCCTTCCCTAACTCCAGTGTAAAAATTATGTCCACTATCAATTTAGTGGTTAGAGAGTTGACTGTGAAGTCATAGGAATGTATACACACAGATATATAGATTTATACATAGAAGGGATACAGCAGTCATTTAGTCCAAACCTCCTCATTTTACAGATGGGGAAATTGAGGTCCAGAGAGATTAAGGGATTTACTCAAGGTTACACAGATTATTGTTGTTCGTCCTTCGTTCTTGAAGAGAACCAATGTCTTGACTTGCAAGTGAATTGGATTTAAGTGAGGCAGAACTGTGCAAAGTCATCAGCCTCACTCTCTCCTCCAGACTCATTGGAGTTCAGTGGCAAGACTTAAGTCAAGAGGACTGGACAACTGACAGTGGCCCGGCAGGTTCCACACATGATACGAGACTGAGCCAGGATGTTCTTGGCTGTTCTTTGGGACATTATCTTATTAAGTGCTACCACTATATCAGAGTCTAAATGGAGTGGTTCCTATCTTATCTAGAATGCCTATGGACACTATTAAAAAAAAAAAACAAAAACAAAAACAAACAAACCTGGCAAATCTGTTCCATTTTATATCTAACTGTTGACTTCTAGCTTCGTGTGCAAATTCTCATGGAACAGTCTTGGTCTCTCACCATACTTTTGGCAATCTTATTTTCCTTTTCACTGATTTCATTCTTTTTTGAGGTAATATTCCTCACCCTGTTCCATAGCATTTCATAAATAAACTTGTACTTTTAACAGGTGTTACCCTGGACTTCCATTCCTCATGAGACCAAGGTCATATGTTTGCTTGTTGAGGCAGTTACTGGCCTCTTTTGCCCTCTTTGTGAACCTTAAGGCACTATGTGTTAGTTTTTGTCATTATTATGTGATTAACACTATATCTGGCCCATAATAGGTACTTAATAAATACTTACTGATTTTTTTATATCATCTCCATTCCCAAATATATTCTCTCTCCTCTACCCAGAGAACCATCCATTATGGCAAAGATTTATCACACACACACACACACACACACACACACACACACACACACAGTTCATCAAAACTAATCAACACATTGATAGCATATTGAATATTTCATTCCACTGTTCCCCCACCTCTGAAAGGACACATTTTCATAATTCTTAACTTGGTGCCAAACTGGGTCATTGTAATTGCATGGTGTTCCCCTTTCTTGCTCTTTCTTTTCATTATGTGTTTCCAGTTAATATATAAAGTGTCTATAATAACCCAGCAGGGAGGGTGCCATTTTTAAGCCTGCTATGGATCCCCAAATGCCTTGTCCCAGCTTGGAGCCCATCTTAAATGTATTTTTTTTTCATCCCCCTTGGTCCCAGGCAAAATAGTTTATAATTTCACAGGTAATTGATGGATACTTACTTGTTGAGTGAATGTTTTCCCCCCTTCCAAATTACTGGCAATGGACTTTTGAGTGATAAGATTATGAGTATCTTGTGACTCTTAATACATCTCTTTCCAGGTGAAGCCTACCTAAGGCTGAGCAAACTTCCAGAGGCAGAACATTGGTATGTGGAATCCTTGAGATCCAAGACTGACCATATCCCTGCTCATCTCACCTATGGAAAACTCTTGGCCTTAACAGTGAGTATCCTACCTATTAGGCAGACAATAGGGCTCTCAGCATGAACATGTGTTGAGAAATCCATAGTGACCTTCCCACATCTTGTCTGGCCTGGATACTTATGGGTCTAGAATACAATTGTGAGTGTTGGCAATTTTTTTCATTACATGGGCCTTCCACTATGGGCCTAGTCTCTACCATAACCAGTAGCATTGGGGGAAAAATTAAAATTTGAATAGTAATATGTGAAGCCTTTCCTTCCCCTACTTATGTTCCAGTAAAATAAAGCTTTTGAGTGTTGTCAAGAATTACTCTTGAAAAAAAAAAAAGAATGAAGCAGTCTTTACTGTTTTACAGATACACACAAGAGAGACCCAGCATACATGTGTATATATGGTTCAGAACAACTTGAAATTACCCCAGATTAGGATTGGGGAGAGTGGGTTGGGACTGTAAATTAAAGCACATGTTTTATTGTCAGCACACTGAAGGGATTTTACCCTTGAAGAAACTCAATGCAAGTGTGGGGGAAAGAATCTAGTTTATGTATTGAATATATTGAATAACCTCAGTGTAGCATTTACATAAAGATGAAATTGTAAAGGCAAGCATTGCCTGAAACATCGTAGAATATTGTCTGAGCTTTGCATATATTTTTCTTTTATGCTGTTTTGTCTTCTAAATTAATTATTGTCTCTTTTGCAATGAATCCTTGCTCTTCACCAATTCAACCTAGCAGATATTGATGAAGTACCTTCTATGTACAAGGTGTTTAGAATGGGAGAGATAAACCATAATGAGTGATAATCATATAGCATTTTAAGGTTTGCAAAGAATTAGGAAAGAGCTTTGTGAAAGAGAAGTATGAACTGAGCCTTTAAAGAGGATAACCCTCTCAACATCCATGGATGAATGCATGTGGGTTCAAGCTGTTATATTTTGAGGGAGAAGGGAAACAAATAAGCATTTTTATAGAACCAAAGATGTGCAAGTACTGTGCAAAACACTTTACAAATATTATCTCATTTGATCCTCACAACAATGCTGTGAGGCAGGCGCTATTATCCCCATTTTATAGTTAAGGAAACTGAGGCAAGTAGAGGTTAAGTGATTTGCCCAGCGTTAACACACCTAGTACATGTTTGAGATTAGTTTTAAACTCAGGTGTTCCTGGTTCCAAGCCCAGCATTCTATGCACTATACCTAGCTCCCTCATCGCTCTTACGTCACTTCTTTAAATTACCTGCTATGATTTTATGACATCTGTGAATATTTGGGGTCATTTCAGACTCTGGAATAATTAATCAGTAGTGAAGTATTTCACTTACCTGTTTTGTGATCAACAAAATGTATAAGCAAATATGTTTGTTTCAAGTCTCAAGGCTAAGTACACTAGAGTTTTACCTTTCAGACTATCAAAAGTTCTAGTTTCATACTTCACTAAAGTATATATACATATACACATACACATATTTATGTATATATACACATATGTATATATACATATGTAAATCTATACTTTTGTGAAGTGTGAAATTAGACATATATGTGTGTATATATGTACATGTGTATGTATGTATACGTACATATACATATAATGTATACATATACATACATATATACATATACATGCATACACACATGTGTGTGTGTGTTATTGCCTTGTGAAATCCCCAATGAGTTCAAATTCATAAGGATGACTCAGTCAGCTTCAGATCTGAAAATGAGTACATGGGAGTATTGCCGGTACTACTCCATTGTGGAAACGTTTTTAAGTCAGACATAGATTGAAGTGAAATTTTTACATTTTCAATTGGACTGATAAAGTGCTTTCTGCAAATCTCTCTCAAAAGGCATATTGTAGGTTTTCAAATCCATTTTTTTGTGATGCGCAGTAGACAAAAAAGGTTATCTTGAGAAGACAAATCGAGAACATTCACACACGTATAATTTGCAAACTGCCTCAACGCTGACAAATACTATGGACGCAGGATTCCTGAGAGCCCTTATTTCTCTTCTTGAGGTTTTCTATTTTATGTTTCCTGCATCTAAGACATAATTTGGAAAGACTGCTTTATTCTATTTTTTTTTTTTCAGGAGGAATTCTTTACAAGACTCGGAAGCTTTATTTTACTGGAACATATGTAGGGGAAGGAAGGGCTTCACATATTACAATCCAGATTTTAATTTTTTCCCCCAATGCTACTTAAGGACTCTTTTTATAGTTTCCAAGTTGCTGATTAGATGAAATATAAACCCTATTATGGGATGGTTTAGATTCACAGTGTGAAAATCCCACAACCATCTTTAACAGATTTCTTTCTAAATTATGAGAATTGGCAAATTCTTTGATCCCCAAGGACTGCCTCGCTCTCATTTTGGATTTCTTGACTTGATAGTATGCCACTGATTCAGCATGAGATTGGCAAAGTGAAAAATGCCACACATTTTGACTTCCAAATACTTTAAATGTAAAACAGTGTAAAAACAATTGGCTATTAGTCTCAGCAGAAGGCACAATTTTAGTTGAGGTGGAGACTGGTGTTTTTAATTCTGGTAGTGCTTACCCCAACCTAGTTTTCATTAAGGATAAAAGAAATAACTATATGAGGGAGTGACTATAACTGTGTTACTTATTCTGAGTATGATTACATCAATTGAGGATATTATATCAGAATTATATTTTAAAATCAAATTAAAATGAAATATAGTGTTAGACCTGAAAGGGACTTTAGAGTTCATATAATCAGTTTTCAGATGAGGAAATTGAGGCCCAGAGTGAATGCCTGACTTGCTCAGCAGGGTCATTAAGGTGGCAACAGATTCAGAGCTGGAAACTGAATGGCCTGATTTTTAATTGAGGAATTCATCATTTCAAATAAGTCCAATTTGAGAAATAATCCTTTCATATAAGATACATTTATTTCCATTACATTTAGTTTATTGATTAATCTTACCCTTAATTAATGGAAATAAGCTGACAACATTTTTATTTTAATGGATTTAACAATTTAAAAAATATTCTCTGATTTTACTTAAGATATTTGTCTTAATTATATTCCTCATGACATTTTTTTTTAAAAAGTTCCTTCTTATTCCTGCACCTTTCCAAAATGTCATGGAGCCCCTGTGTTTGTCAAGGAGGTGTGGTGTGGGGATTTCTATGACTACAGTACGCATAAAATAATTGTAATGACTCAACACTAAGCCAATTAATATATAAAGTGTATACTGGGAGGGGCCATAGTCATAAAGCTGTGCCCCATTGTAGTTTCATTTTGATGTGTTATGTAGGCTCATAGGGTAGGTTTATGGCCCAGAGTTCAAGTCTTCCACTTTGAATACAGTTATACCTGACCCTGTAAGCCAACCTCCATTCTGATACAAAGGCCAATGAAGACACTAACCATGACTTGTTTGAATTTCTCTACCAATCTTCTTCTTATGAATTTTTTTTTTTACCTAAAGTTGGTGTCATGAATTCAGAATGGGGCATACATTGCTAGGGGAGGCAGACATGTAGGGCCAGAGGATACGTTTTTCATTTTATGGGAAGAGGAAGGAGAATAAATAAGCATTTTATTAAGTACCTACTATATGCAAGGCATTGTACTAAGACCTTTTGTAGTTTTTTCTCAATTTATTCTCTCAACAACCCTTCAAAGTAGGTGGTACTAGTAATCCCATTTTACAATTGAGGAAACTGAGGTAAACAGAGGTTAAGTGACTTGCCCAGGATCACATAGCTACTAAGAGTCTAAGGTTGGATTTGAACTCTGATCTTTCTGACTCCAGGGCCAGTACTCTATGCACTGTACCACTAATTGCCTTTGTGGTACATATGAGTGATTTTGTAATTCTTCCCAACACCATGGATCTTCATTATCATTTTCGCACATGTTCCCTTCACAATTTAGAAAAAAAATCATATTATTTCTTTACCATCGTCGATTTACTTAAGACAATTTTTTTTAACATTTTTGTAGGCCAATATAATTAATGCTGACATAAATTGCATAAAAGTTCTACTTGCCTCTTAGCTTGTTTACAGAATTTGGATGGTATGTTAGAGAAAGGAGATGAATTTTTAACAATGATTCTTGATCCAGAAAAAACAAACAAACAAACAAACAAAAACTTTATTTTGACTAATAAACAGGAACATTTAGCCAGCCTCCTTTTTTATTGTGCTAAGCACTGTGCTAATTCTAAAAAATATAAAGACAAAAAGAAACCTGTTCCTTCCCTTATATGCTGTGTGGAGAAATAATAGAGAGACATAAATAAATACAAAATATGTACAAAATCCAAGCAAAGTAATTTCTAAAAAGGAAGGCACTAGCACCTGGGGGAAAAAAATAACTTGGTATAGAAGATGACACTGAATTTAGTAGGAAGCTAGGGAATCTATGAGACAGAGACAAGAGGGGATTGCATCCCAGGCATAGATACAGGATTTGGAATATTGTGAACCAGGAATAGCACACTGTCCAATTTGTCTAAAATGTGGACGATGTAAAGGAGAGTGGGATGCAGTAAGCCTGGAAAGGTAGATTGGAGTCATATTGTGAAAGGCTTTAAATATCAAGAAGAGAAGTTTGCCTTTTATCTAGAGGAAAGAAGTAGCCATTAGAACTCCTTGAACAGGGAGTGAAATGGTCAAGCCTGTGCTTTAGGAATATAACTTTATTTTTTTTATTTTTTGATAATATTTTATTTTTCTCCAATTACATGTAAAAACAAATTTTAACATTCATTACTTTTTTTTAAGTTCTGAATTCCAAATTCAATCCTTCCCTCCCTTTCCTACCCCCTCCCTGAGATTGTAAGCAATCTGATATAGGTTATATGTGTGCAATCATGCAAAACATTTCCATTTTAGTCATTTTGTGCAAGAAAACTCAAAAAGGAAGAAAAACAGAAGAGAGAGAGAGAGAGAGAGAGAGAAGAAGGAAGGAAGGAAGGAAGGAAGGAAGGAAGGAAGGAAGGAAGGAA